TAAATGAATGCTAAATCATACTTTCAATATCGCTTTTAGTGCAACAAGAAAACTCTTAGGCTTCATTTTGGACGGCTTTCTTACTGTAACTTTTTACTAGAATGTTGTTTTTGAAAACAATGAAAAAAAGGTCCTAAAGGTCCTAAACGAAGCCTTAGGGTTGGATTTTTTTTCAAGAAAATGGCTAGTGATATATCATCAAAAATTAACCTTGATCAGGCACGAATTCAGAGACAAATTTAAGTTGAAAACTTTTGAAGTTAAATTCAAGATCATTTGAACTCTGATTTTAGCAAACTTTTAGTCAAACCAAAATGTCTCAAAAAGACGAACCCAACAACACCAAATTCGTCCCAATACGAGCTTGAATGGGTCCAAATAAAAGACCCGAAGTGCATTTGGAAGGTTCAACCCATAAATTGGATGACTAAACGATTTCTAAATGTAACATGCTTATAGTAGAATCGAGCAACTCAACGAAAAAAATCCAACAAGTCCAAGATCGCCAAATTCTAATATCATTAAGACACTTAAATACTTGATAAATAATCTATGGTAAAGGGAGTCGATATCGATCATCCATTCAAAACACTGACAACAAGCCCTTGATCTTCTCTCTATTTGTTGATTATGTCACTCAAAAAAAAAATATATAAATAGGCCCCTCATTCTTCATTGAGGGGACCCAAAGCAAGGAGGAGAAGGGAGAGAAGGAAGAAAAAGAAAACAGAATTCTCTTACCACCATACTCCTCGACTATCGATTATTGTCGGCATATGCTCAGCCACTGACTGACACCGTACTTCCACTCGACCACCAGCTATCTCCAGACTACCCCTCGACCGCCAACTAGCACCTAATTTTATCCGACCATCGAACGTCGCCGAATATCTGGATGATCTTCGTTCGTCACTATATTTCAACCCAACGATTGATTGTTGTAATATAATCATCCTCAATTTACAGAACAACCCAGTCATTTGTAATTTATTCAAAGACTATTGGAATCGTTTCAACTGAACGTGGCCCCGTGGTTTTCCCTTCAATAGTTTACATGTAAAAACTCTAGTATCTCATATGAATGTTATATACCCAATCTTTCATTTGTTTGTGTACGAAATCTTCGTATAAAGCTAAGATGTTAAAATTTATATTTCTCTACCGCCGTGAATATTTCAGGATGCAAACAGTTTGGGGCCATTTATGAGAACTTCATTCCTAACTAGGGACAACTTTTGCTCCAATCTCAAAAGTTCATTAATGTCAACATCTTAACATCAACTTCATAGGAATTAAAGGTGGACTGGGAGGCAACCTTGATTGCAACAGTGGTCAAGACGGTTTCTCTAATGCTTCCAAATCCAAGAAAATATATTGGAATACTATTTTTAATAAAGCTTCAAATAAATGTAAGGATGCTTTCAATAAATTAAAAAAATTGTGCAGTCTCTAGATGGACTTCTACTTATTGGGCAAGGTCTTAATCGACCTAAAAAATACTATAATGATCAAAAGATATATCTTTTTTCACATTTGATTAGAGATATATGTGCATTCGCCCTCTCCCAATAAAGACATAATTGATCAAAGGGGGATTCGATCCGAGCTCTTTCACATATGTTAATGTCATCAAGCAATGCTTTGATTAGTAACATCGGATATGTCAAATATCTTAAGAGGATGTCAAACAAATCTTAAAATCTTTTATTCGAGAAATATATAATATTTATTGTGCCTCAATCACTAGATGATAAATCATAGGAGGATTCGATCTGGTCTATTCCACACAAGTTAAACGTCACCGAGTAATGCTCTGATAAATAATCGTGGATATGTCATACTTCCATGGTGGATTCTCTCGATCTCTTTTACACAGGTTAACGTCACTGAGCAAATCTCTGATAAATAAGCTCAGATATGTCATACACACATGGTGGATTATTTTAGCCTCTTTTACCCAGGTTAACATCATCGAGCAATGCTCTAATAACATCGGATATGTCATACATCTTTGATGAATTCTCTTGGCCTCTTCTATAAATGTTAAGGTCATCGAGCAATGCTCATAAAAAATATCTCTTAAAAACTAAACATCATTATAAATTTTCTCATTCTTTTTAATACAAAGCAATGCTTTAACAAACAACTCCAAGAAGGCTCACATATAAGGTAGCCTAAAAAAAATGCTAGTAATGGGCAAGGTCCTCACTAGAAAAACTCTATGAAAGCAAGTGATTGACAATGTCATCATTTATTCAAAGACCTTATAATGTTAAAAAGCCTCAAAAGGCACAAGTATACAAATACATTAGCAGGCTAAAAAGCCTCAAAAGGTACATGTATACAACAACCTTAGCGCGCTAAAGAGCCTCAAAAGGCATATGTACATCAAAAACTCATAAGGCTTAAAGCCTAAGAAGATAAACAATTCTTTGATTATTTAAAATCTTAGAAGATTAAAAGTTACCAAATGGATAAATTCTTCTAATCTAGTTGCTCTAACCGCGTGACAATATATTAAAGTATATATCAAAGATGCATAAACGACTTTGTTTTCTTTAGGGGACAATTTCATTTAAAATGAAAAATAAGCTTTGAGCTCATAAAAATATTTCAAATCCATATGCAACATCATTGGATTTACATAACAAAATTATATATCAGGTTCGAGTGTACATTCATTTTCACCAAAAGTTAAAATTAAAATTACATCAACATCATTTGTGCACTTTAATAAATAGAGATGAACAAAAAAACTCATTTCAAACATTAGCCTCCACTTACTTGACAACTTGAGCGTGTTGTTAGATTATTGCGATCAACACAATGTTTGATCCCTTTAGTTTGGATATCCGTCTTCTACCTCCATCAGCATACTACCTCCAACAAAATGAAGCATCTCTTTCATCAAGAAAAGAGCGAAACCCTAACAAGCCTTCAATTATTTGAAACTTTTTATATGATGCTAAACTACTTCCATCGGCACACCACCTGACCACCTACGTCAGGTCATTCATTATTATGCTATAGTTATCATTATTTCTTACTACTCTTAACAGAGTACAACTCAATCATCACCATTATCGACGCTTCGCTTGATGTCCACCATTGATCATTCACCACTTATCAACCATCATTAACCTCTTGCTCGGCTACTATTAGCATCACACCCTCCAATTATCTCATTCAACTCACCACTCATCCACCAATTGACATCTGAATTTTACCTAATAGTTGATCACCTCCAAACTTTCACCTGGATTCTGATCGCCATCAAACTTTCACCCAGCTGCCAATTGTCGTCGCACTTTCGCTCAAACATCATCAAAATTCCACCCGTTTGTTGATATCACTATTCCCCCTCCTTGGTGCTATTATCGCATAATCTTTTCAAATCGCTGTTGCATATAAGAGTAGTTGATCTTCTTCTATCAAGGATTGTTTATTAAGAGAATAAGCTCTCATCGTGACTTGATAGAGGGTGCTACATATTCAAGATAGTGGAATACCTTTATTGTAAGAAGAATGAAGGATGAAAGGAGTAGAATAAATGACGCAATTCCCCCTGCTCCAAGGGGGTTATTTAAATATGAAAGAGGAAGATGAATATTCGACTTAATCCAAGCCCAAATGAGTCTAAATCAAAGACCCAAAGCACATTTGGAAGGTTCAATCCATAATTTGGATTAACAAATAGTTTCCAAATATGACGTGCTTATAGTCGAATCGAGCGGCTCGACGAGACGAATCCAACGAGCCCAAGATTGTCGAATTTTGATATCATTAGAGCCTTTAAATGCTGATAAACAGTACACAATCAAGGAATTCAATATTAGTCGTCCATTCAAATCACTCCCAACTTACCCCTGGTATTCCTTCTATATTTTGGTCATGCAACTCTCAGAAAACTATAAATAACACCCCATTTCTCTTAAGAGGGGACCCCAAGCAAGAAGAGAAGGAAGAACAAAAGGAAGAACTTCTCATCGACCACCAATAAACTTTCACCCGGCAGGCGACTAACACTGGAATTAAGCAAGGAGGCAAGTAGAGAAGGAAGAAGAGAAAGAAGAAGAGAAGGAAGAGACTCCTCCTCGACCACCACCGGAGTTCCGCCCGAACTACAAGTGGCGCCGGAGTTCCGCTGGACCTCCAAGTGATGCCAGAGTTCATCCCGACCTCCAAGTGATGCCGGAGTTCCGCCCGACCTCCAAGTGATGCCGGAGCTCTGTCTGACAATCGAATGACACCAGTTTCTGCCTGATCGCAAACTAACGTCATAATTCTGATATCAGGTTGTAACTGAATTTCAATCCGAGAGTTAGATTATCGTAATCCGATCGTCCTAAATTTTAAGGACGAGTCAGTCTCTTGTAACGTAAGCAAACACTAGTGAAATTATTTCAACTGGGCGTGACCCCGTGGTTTTTCCCTTTTCAGGGTTTTCCACGTAAAAATACTTATGTTCTTTCATCTTATGTTTATTTGTTGGATATCAGTACAATACTAAGATGAATTTTTTTTTTAACTCTATTGACTCGTATGTTCTAGCTCGAAACAATTATAAATATATATTTATATAAATAATAAGTTTATTAAAAAATAGAGACAACATAACTTTTAGTCTTTTATCTCTCTCCAGCTTTTTCTCCGCTCTCTCTGCATTCCTCATCTATCTCCCCGCCCACACATTCTCTCTCTTCCTGCGCACACTCTCTCTCTCCTCGCCCACACTCTACCTCTTTCATCTGATTTTCTATGTCCAGAAAATGCGCTTAATTTAATAGCGTATTCTTAATGCGCTTAACTTTTGTACGCATTCTAAAATGCGTCAGAATATTCAGCATATTTGCTTGTTTTTAAATTAATTTCTAACCACGCTTCTTCAGCTAAAATAGGAAACAAATACCCTTGTTCCGAAAATTTGGCCAAAGTCCTGTCTATCTTTATCTCTCTCTTTACTTCTGCGAAACTTCGTCTTTTGGTCTTGTTGTGCTCGCCTAGTCGACGATCGCACTGACACACCCTAATATCATCACCGGAGGTAAGCTGACTGAGAGATCAACGAAGACAGCAACGGCCTGGATTTTTTTCTCTTTACAATCGCGCGACTCGGAGCAGCAGACGGTGGTACCGATACACTTCACATAAATTGTAAGGTAACTTGTTAATTGTGAACGCTAACACCGCAAGTCCTCTTTTATCTCCACAACTACCGATATTTCAAACCGGTGAGGGTTTTTGTTAATCCACTTTCCGATATCGTTCTTAATTTACACAAGGGGTTTTCGAAGTTTTGTCTGACGATTCTGCTTTTGGACTCTAGGTTTCCATGGGGACTGCATGCAGGATTCCTTCGTTATGTCTTCTGGTACCAGTGCTATTGCTTTCTTTGCTCCTTCCAGCCACATCGGATGGATTGGTGAAGATCGCGCTGAAAAAGAGGCCGCTGGATGAGAACAGCAGGCTTGCGGCTAGACTGGCCAAAGAGGAAGCGCTGTCGCGGGAATCTCGAAAATTTGGGCTCAAGGAGGTTCGGGACGGATCGGAGGAGGACATCATAGCGCTGAAAAACTATATGAACGCGCAGTACTATGGAGAGATTGGCATCGGCTCGCCCGCGCAGAAGTTCACAGTGATATTTGACACTGGTAGCTCGAACCTTTGGGTTCCATCGGGAAAGTGTTACTTTTCTGTGAGTAATCTTGGGGTACTTTTACATTGTTTAAAGTTTAAACGAAGCATCTAATCGCTTTTCTCGATGTTTAATGGTTCCCTGCTTTTGTTTTCTAATTAAAAATAGCATGTAAAATGAGTTGGGAGCTTTATAAGGTCATGATTAATGGAACTTGCAAAATTTCTTGAGGAGTAGTATCTGTTTTATCTGAGCATTTAATTTAGTTGTTGATTTGATTTCGTTGATATGTTTTATTATGGTAAGTATTTGTGATTGAGCTAGCATCCGAATTTGTTAACTTTATATTATGTGCAGATTGCTTGCTATCTTCATTCAAAATACAGGTCAAGCAGATCAAGTAGCTACAAGAAGAATGGTTTGTCTATTCCTTATGAATTTCTTTTTATGTAGTTTTAGCAGAGCTTGTATTTGATTTGAAGTCTTGATTTTGCCACTGCTTAGTATGTTTACAATTTTGAAGTTGCAACTCTCAATAAGTATGGAAGTAGAAGAAGTGTTCATAAAGAAATCGGCAAGTTTCTAGGATATGGATATTGATGGCGCTGAATATTTTCATGACACTAAAACGTCTATTGTATAGAAAGACTATGTGTGGTTGTTAAATTGAAACATAATGTGTTGTAAAATATTTGATAAGATTCCGTTGGATCTATTTTGTTCAATTAACAAAACTTTATCCAATGGAAAGCATATTCCAATCAATATATAGAATTATAGAATTTTTTTTTTTGCTTCAGAAATGAGAACTAGCAAAATCACATATTAATTGATTAAGCAGAAATACAACAATTTAAAAGAGAGAGTTTAATTCTTTAGAATCCTTCCTTTCTTCAAATAGAACAATCAGATATGGAATCAGCTAGATCCTTGAAATGCCTTTTTGAATCACCCTCCTTAGTTAAATTTTATATCTTTACAGTTGTATAGCGGAATGGGTGACTTCAATTTGGTAGGCTCACATGGGGTGCTTCCAGTAGTCATATAAACCTACGGCACCTTTTTGACTACGTGGACTTTACATATTTTTGCCTGCGCCCGCCCGTTGTTCTTTGTCATTTGTTGTCTCTATGTTGAACAATGAAGATGCACTAACATGTTTCCTAGAGATATATAGAGAGAATTTTGGTTAGATGAAGTTTGAACTTTGAAATGGTTATTCAAGGGAAATTGTCGAGTAAAGTTTATTGAGCATGCAATTAGTGAATATAGTAGGTTGAATTGTCTTGGGTATGTGGAATAAAATGAAGAGGTGGCATTATTGATTTAATATGATTGGAGATGGACAATGTTCAAGCCAAACTTATGTTTCAAGAATTTGTTGGAAACCATTTTGTTGTGATTGAGCAACTTTAATTGTTGTTTAAATGGAATGGACGGTTAAATAGAATCCTAAAAATCTATATCAAATTGCTAAGTTGATACCACCAGTTTTGATGACGATAAATCCTTGACAAATAGAGCTGATTTATTCTTGTTTAAATCTATCTGATTTATTTTCTTTATTTCTTGTATAATCAAGGTTTTTGTATCACAAACTGCATGACCTGAGTTTTATAATCTTGACATGATATAGATTTCTTTGAATATTTTTTAATTTTGAAGGGACATAATTTTATTTCTTTTAAAGGTTGTTAAAAAAATGCAAAATTATGGGTTTGTAATCAAAATAGAGTTGATTAATTTTACTAGTCATCCTATATGAATTGTTTGTTAACTTCTTAGTAATATCCTGTTTGTTGCATGCATGCTGCTTGTTTATCAGTAGGCAACATAGCTGATTATTTGAGTCTTGTCCCATGCTTTATCTTTTTGTTTTTTAATTAATCCTTGCTAATTATAAACATTCATATTCGGTGAGAATAATTTAAGGATGTTGTAATGATGATTGTGTACCATTTTTTTTTGCAGATTCAATGCACCCTTTCTAAAGTACTCTTATTGTATTTATTTATACATATTCACCTATGATTTTAGCAGACAGCACAATTTATACTGTGGTAAAGGATGGTTTTTGTGAAGTTGCGTGCCCTACCCTTTTTTTTTTCAATGACCGTTCTATCATTGAATTTATTAATTGATCCTCTTGACAAGTAACTAATATGATTTTCTATTTTCTGAGCAGGGAAATCTGCCGCTATTCATTATGGAACCGGATCAGTTTCTGGTTTCTTTAGTGAAGACCATGTCACAGTTGGTTCCATTGTTGTGAAAGAGCAGGTCTGTATTGCAAAAGCTTTGCAATTGCGGTAAATTGTTATAATTATATTTACTTTGTGGATTAGATTTTCATATATAATACTTGGCAGGTTTTTATTGAAGCAACTAGGGAACCAAGTGTTACTTTCTTGGTGGCAAAATTTGATGGCATTCTTGGACTTGGATTTAAAGAAATATCGGTTGGTAATGTTGTTCCTTTATGGTAAGCATGCCAATTTATTTTATTTTATTTTTTACTGACTTTTTTTTTCACCATGAAATGCTTTGAGTGTTTTGAGTTAGCATGGTTGGATTCATGTTGACAGCGGTTTTGAAGAAATGCTTTTGTTTTGATGATGGCTTTATGAAATTAGGCTTAGATTATTTAATTATTTGTTTCAGTTATTTCATTTAAATTAGGAATTCTAGATTAATTTAAACTGAAATTAGTATTAATTATTATTATTATTATTTTCATAATTTTAGATTTGAATTTGAATTATTTATGGTTATATGCTAGATTTGATTAGATTTGCTCTCAATTACTATTTTGATGTCATCTTGTCATGCGTTCTTTTTGTATATATATGGATTCATGGCTTGTATTGTGGCATTAATTTGATGACTTGAAAATGAAGCCTTTTCTATTCTCCTGTGTCTTGATGGATTTTTTCTTTCTCCTATTGTCCAACTCCAAAGCAATTGGTATTATAGCTTTGGTTTGATTCCTGCATGCTTCTTGACCCCATTGATCTTGTGCAAACCCTTGTATGCTTGCTTTGCATTTACCAGGACCTCACTTGCATGTGCTTGCATAAGGCTGTGCACATCTGTGTTTGCCTTGTACCTTCACCCTCTTGCTTGCATGTTGCACCACATTCATCCTTCTCATCCTGCAAAAATCCATTCCCATTTAAGTTTGACACACATTCTTGCTTGTTTTGCTGCCTACACCTACATGCACGCCTGCTTGCATGCTCTTGTTATTGCATTAGTGCTTAATTATATCTCACTTTAATTTTGTTCTTGCTGCTTGCTTGCAAGCATGAAATATCACGTGACTGGAAACTAATGTTGACAAATTTTGCATGCGATTCCTTTTACTTGCTAAAGCCCAGCAGCTGATTACTTGCTTCTCTTCCGTCTTTTATTCTTTTTAAAATCATACATGCTATACTTGATGATGCCACACATGAAAACAAGTTTAAGGTTTATTTTTGTAATTTGATTTAAATTAGAAATTAGTCAATTGTCCTTTTGGATAATTTTAATATAGGTTTGATGTCGATCTTATTTATATCGATGGTTGTATCAATAGAGGGGTTAGGCCTTGTAATGATTTGGTGAAATTGGCTGTTAGAATGATCTGATATTAAAATTTTGTTGTGGCCTTACCTTTGGTTATCTCACACTTCTAGGGTTTCTCCTGGCTACTTTATCTCTACTTCTGGTTTCCCTATCTTTGGCATGTAATTCTTCTTTTACCCAATCCCCTTCTTCTCATTGCCCGTTCGGTTTTCTTCTAACATTAGATTCATCTATCTTTATCTTCAAATGCCTAAATCCATACAAATTGGTATTAGAACTTGCTTTACATCTTGACCCACATTGCTTTTGCTCGTGATTCCACAACATTGCTCTCCTCTTCATGTTTGTATCTCAACCTTGCTCTCCCCTAAATTACTTTTGATTTTTTATAAACTCATGCATTGTGTCTTCCTCACTTCGATCCCACTTATGCGAATGTGCGTCATGGGGAAAATATTTCGTAAAGAGTTAAGGGACCATTTTGGTCATTTTCCTTATTATAAATTATAATTACACCAAGGATGTATTGATTTGATTATTGGGTTGTTAAAATAGTTGCCAAGATTTAAGTTATTTGTGATAGTAATGATACCATGAAGATTGATGCATGATAAAACCAGGATGGATAGATTATGAAATGTTTATATCAGATGAACTGTTGGCGCAATATGTTTTGAAGGGAAATTGAAAACAAACTTATGGCTCACTTGGTTCTTTTAGAGGAACATGCTTCGGAAAGTGATGATTTTTGTTCTCATTCATTTTCAAAGTGAAGTTGAAATCTTCACTTTGGGGAGTTTTGAAGTATGTGATGTTTAAAATTAATATTGATTTCTAACTAAATCCTACCAAATGAAGGAATCTAGCAAACTTAGTGTTTCAAAGCGTGTATCTAAATTCAAGCAACCACACGAGCTCTTAGTTGGTTTGGACGTGTACAACTAATGAATTAATAGTGAAAAATGCACCCATTAGATGAGTTGACAAAATGTATGTGGAGCAGTATGAAGAAGGATGGAATTAAGTTGGTATGGATAGGAATTGTTCAAAATTCTGGGAAAGATTGGTTTAACACCTCAGGTGAGCTCAGCAGGAACAAATTGAAAAAAAGTGATTTATGAAACTGTCCTCAAATTCTTGGGACTAGGCTAACAATGTTGATTGTCAATTTCTTGTTTTGAATTTCAATTGTAAATGTTTAGGTGTTCTCAGGTCACCAGCTCTAAAATATTGTCATAACCGCATAAATAACTTACCAAATGTATAGACCTAATGCATGTAGAGCCCATATTTGAGATAAGATTTATGATGTTGATGATGATTACGTGAAATGTCCTGTTAAGCTGTAGCATGCAATATTGAGATCCTACTTTCTTTTTCAGTATTACAGGGCTCACTGAACTTTACAAAAATGTTCATATATGTGTTGTTTCAGAATACCTTTTCGAGTAGAATGTTTGGGCCGGAATTTTATGTTGAATGGAAATTGCAAACCATTTTCTAACTTTCATTTTCATTCAGGTACAACATGGTTGATCAAGGTCTTGTCAAGGATCCTGTTTTCTCTTTTTGGTTTAATAGAAATTCGGAGGATAGCGATGGGGGTGAAGTAGTGTTTGGAGGATCTGACCCTAATCATTATGAGGGTGAGCACACGTATGTCCCTGTGACACGAAAGGGCTACTGGCAGGTGGGTTTCTAATCCACCTATCAGATTGACTGGATATATATAATTCGTTTTCATATTCAGTTGCATGGTTTATATTACTAATTATTGTTTTTTAAATATGATTTTTTCTTGCTACAGTTTGATATGGGTGATGTCCTTATTGGTGATCAAACAACTGGTAGCGTTTCAAATCGTCTATTTTTCTTGTAAATTAATGCATTCTTACTTCTGACTTGATTCTGCTTGAAATTGTGATTTCCAGGATTCTGTTCTGGTGGTTGTGCAGCTATAGCTGATTCTGGAACTTCTTTGATTGCTGGTCCTACAGTAAGTGAAAGTCTATAGCTGCCAATAACTTGTCTATTATTTTTCCTCGCTATTCCTTATAACGAAATCTGTTGATTTTACCTAGAGATTATGGATAAAAGGCTCCTAATTCTTTTGTAAAATTTTTTTGCTTTTCTCAATATTAACTATTTGCTTAATTTTTTTTCATGTTTTCCTGTTGATGCTTTCTTGGAGACGGTATATATATATATATATATTAGTTTTTTATTTACAGGAAATTGCTCAATATTAATACCATCTTACTATTGAAAGATAGTTAAAAAGAAGTCATTTTGTGCGTGTATTCTAATTCTTAAATATGTTTGTCAGTTTGTGTTTATATGCATCTGTCTATGTTTATATTTACATCTCTTTTTCTCGGTGCTCAGTTCCATGAATAATTGTTAATTTTGTATCTTTCCATGCTATTATATTTCTTTTCAAAACTGCTGAAATATTGTGTTATTTGTCACTTCAAATTCTTGCAACGTGTTTGTTGTTTGTTTGTTTTATTAAATATGTATGTCTGCAAGTGTAGAACTAACTATTAATGGGTTGTTTTTCATTCACTTATGATTATGTTCATAAGTTTTGGAAAGATGGAGCTGTACGTAATTTCATAGTGGCATTTGGTGCAGCATATTTGAAAACGTGCTTTAAGAAATGAGGATGGTGCTTACTTTTAAAAATGGTGCTATTCAATCACTACTAGATTATTATTATTTTTTTTTGCAATTGAAAGGTTATTTATTGAGAGTTTATCTGTCATTTCCATTGTATTTGATAGGGATGCTAGGTTTGTCAATTAATTTTGAAAAAAAAATTATTAAAGTTTTTTTGGTATCCAACTAAAGCTTTCATCTGCCTTCACCCAATGATTGATGGACAAATTGAAGCTTAAATACAAGTGTGGGAAATCTGCTATGTTGTTTTCCTAACAATAGTTTAGAAAGCTGGCATTTATTATTTCCTATGATTGGGTGTGCTTTTAATATTTTGGTAGACCTACCAATGGAAAATCGTCCTTTGAAGTGTAGGGTAGAACCCAGGATACCTATAGATCTCATATCATTACCCGTGAATACATTTTATGATTTTTTTCTTCATTTGTTGATGTGTGCATAATATACTTTCCAATATAAAAACATAAATTAATTCACAAATGAAATATGTAACTATGGTGGATGTCCAAAGGAAATCACAAGAGTATACTAAAGTTTATTATATGTTAGTTCACCTTCCCCCTAAAACATCTAATGCATAACAAATTTAAGAATCTGGGCTCATGTACCTATAAAAAATATTAGAAAGCTTAAATCATATTATTGATCAGAATATTATTGCTGAGGATTTAATTTTATATATAGATATGCTTTTGAATAAAGTTTTTGCAACCCCACTAATGACACTAATTTCAAAGTTTTGTAATTGAGGTCAGTTGAAGATGAATATGAAATGCCTTGCTCCTGACATTCTTTCTCTCTGTTGATCCTTACCGCTTCTCATATTCATGTGATTTATAATCTAAAGTGGCCTTAATGCCATGGAAATCAATGGTATGATATAGAGAGAATTGCAACGATTTTCATAGATTTAAAAAAGAATGATTTAATTCATGAACTATTTGGTGGCACTAAATAATAGGGAATATATTAGTTTGAATTGCTTTTTGAAGGTCTGAATGTGGAAGGTTTTGTTAGTATGTCTTTAGGGCAGAATACGGTCGTTAGAAGATATGTCAAATAAATAACATGGTTAGGAACTTGTATAAACTTATCAACCATTGTCAATAAGTCTTTTACACTCAAGAAGAATGAATGAATCTAACATATTAGAAGAATGTGGGATAAGTTTAATAATGATGATGTTAGGTTAGAAGGATTATTATTTTTTTTGTAATTTCATATTCTAATTTCTGAGTGCGCTCTTGTAGATATCTGTATGCATGTCTCCTTTGTGTGCACAACTTAAGAAATTTTTTGTAATTTTGTACGTTCCATCATTTCAATTCTCTATTATTAAATTTTTTTTTTTTTTTGAAGGAAATGCCAAATTGCATTAAAACCAAAAAACAAAGAAGTTATTACAAACTACTAAGTGATAAAAAACTTATCACAATCCTCCTTTAACAATTGAAGAAACATAGGAGGAATATTATTGTAACCCAACTCTTCCCAACAAAAATCACCTTCTAAAGCATGATTAGCACAAAAATTAGCTAATTTATTGCATTTTCTATTTGCAAAATGAAAAAGAAACTTACCAAATCCATCCAAGAATGAAATATCTTCCATTCCTTCATTTGGATCATTTCGACTCTTTTGATCCACTACCTTTTGCAGATGCTTAATAACATTGATGTTGTCACTTTCTACCAAGATTCCTTTAGCATCCAACATCCACTCCATGATGATCATCTTCAAGGACCGAAAAGCCATCAACTCCAAAGTACCATTATCCCAATGGGTGCAAGATACTCCAAAAGCAAGCAAAAATCTTCCTTTAGAATCTCTAAAAACTCCTCCAATTCCACCAACATAAGACTTTGTTAAAGATGCATCAATGTTGACTTTAATCCATCCTGGGGAAGGAGGGTGCCAAAATGAGGACAGCTGATTCAGCTGGTTAACACCCCAGTGATCCACGAATAGATTAGTGTCGGCATTAGAAGCAAAGCTAATAGAATTAGCAGCTAAAGTATTCAAGCTTAGCTCACGGTCACCATGCTTAATCAGATTTCTGCTTTTCCATGACCAATAAATCATAGAGCAATAAAGTTTTGCTATAAAACTATTATCCACTATCAAGCGTTCTATAAATCTTGTATGCTTATAATCAAATTGAGATACTCCACAAAATGAATCCAACAAGCTCAATATTACTTAATTTTGACATCTTTAAGACACCTAAATGTTGAAAGAATGAAATTTGATCAAGAGAATCAATATAGACCATATGATGAAGTGCTCCTATATGTTCCTTTACAGAAAAATTAATAAAATTAATATATATTATAATTCATATGAAGATAAATATTCTATGCATTTAGAAAACTAAATGAGTCGAAGAGAAGGCTAAGAAGATTAATAGTTTATGATGTAAATTATGGTATGCGGGTAGGAGTCATACTAGAAATAGTATATGGGTGATTATAGATAAGAGTTTGAAGAATATTGATATAAAAATAAATAAAATTGGAGATAGAATTATAGTTTTAAAGATTGTTGTTGATGTTAAGATTATTAATAAGATAAGTGTTTATGCTCCTCAAGTAAATTTGGATATGTGTTCAAAATTAAAATTTTGAAATAACTTAGAAGAATTAATATAAAAGATACATTTTGAAGAAATAATTTTTATTAGAAGAGATTTAATTGGACATGTTGGTTGAGAGATAGATGATTTTAAAAATATTCATGATGGTCATGTGTTTGGAACGACAAATGAAGTGATAAGTCCATATTAGATTTTTCGTCAGATTATAATTTTTTAATTGCTAATATTTTATTTAAGAAAAAAGATGAACAATTCATCACTTATAAAAATGGATAGAATAAAATCTAGATTGATTATATTCTTATAAGAAAATTAGATCATTTAGATTACAAAGATTGTAAGGTTATCCCAAGTGAAAATTTATGTACCCAATATCGATTATTAGTTTTGGACTTTAAGATAAAAAAGATAGAAAATAAATAAAATAAAATAAAACAACATTCTAGGATTAGATGGAGCATTTAAAGAATATTTACAAAAATATTTTTAAGAGTAACATTTTAGATCTAAAGATTTTATATATGCATGAGTATGCTAATGTTATGTGAAAAAAAGTGACTAGTGATATTAAGAATATTGCAAAAGATATGCTTGGAGTATTAAAGGGAAAACTTCCTAATAAAAAAAATAATTAGTGGTGTAATCCAAATGTGTAAGAATAAATAAAAAATAAAAAAAATGTTATAAAAATGCTTATAATTAAAAAATATATAAAGAGTCACGTAAGAAATCTAATAAAGTAATATGTGATGAAAAGTTTTAAATTTTAATGATTTATATAATATATTAGATACAAATGAGAGAGAAAGATATATGTATAAGTTAGTCACACAAATAGAAAGGAGTAATAAGGATTTAATTCAAGTGAAGTGTATTAAGGATAAATATCAAAAATAATTTTTTATATAAAATGATATTCAACAAAGATGGATGGGATATTTTGCTAAACTTTTTAATGTAGAATGTGAAAATATGATTGACTTTAGTGACCTTAGATCCCTAAATGAAAAAGAAAGATTTATGTTTTATCGATGTATTAGTAAAATCGAAGTTAGAGAGGGTTTAAAGAAAATGAAGTGTGGAAAAGCTGTTGGACATGATGATATTCCAATAAAGGTGTGGGAACACTTAAGAGATGAAAGAATTTTTTGGCTTATTAAACTTTTTAGTACTATTTTGAAGACTAAAAAGATGTCAGATGAGTGGAGAATGATTGTGTTAATTCCTATTTTTAAGAATAAAGGTGATGCGCAAGATTGTGTGAATTATAGAGGAATTAAGTTAATGTGTCGTACTTTAAAACTATGTGAGCGAGTTATGAAGCGTAGGTTGAGGCATGATAATAATGTTTCTCAAAATCAATTTGGATTCATGTCAGGTAGGTCTACTATGAAAGTCATACATTTATTGAGAGACTTGATGGAGAAACATAGAGAGAATAAGAATGATCTGCATATGATATTTATTAATTTAGATAAAGCATATGATAAAGTTCTAAGATAAGTGCTATGGAGAGTTCTTGAAAAGAAAAGAGCTAAGAATGCATATATTCAAATCATTAAAGATATATAAGCACGAGTTAGTACTTGTGTTCAAAAACAATGTGGTTTGACCAAGTATTTTCTTATTTCGATTGGGTTAAATCAAGGTTCAACCTTAAGCTCATATCTTTTTTCTTTAGTAATGGATGTTCTCAATAGACATTTCTAAAAGGATATACCTTGGTGTATGCTTTTTTGCTGATGATATTCTTCTTATTAATAAGACTAGAGAGGGAGTTAAAGGTAAACTTGAATT